TATATATATATATATATATATATAATACTACTAACCACAACTACTGACCACAACTATTGACCACAAAACCTACTGACCACAACTAATGACCACAACTACTGACCACAATTACTGACCACAACCACACAACTACTGACCACAACTATTGACCACAGAACCTGCTGACCACAACCACACAACTACTGACCACAACTACTGACCACGCCTACTGACCACAACCACACAACTGCTGACCACAACTACTGACCATGTCTGTTCTGTAGGGCCCAAAGTACTTGTAACATAAACACACAAGTACTGACCACAACTACTGACCACAATTATTAGCCACAACTACTGACCACAAAAACTACTGACTAAAACTACTAACCACAACTACTGACCACAATTACTAACCACAACTACTGACCACAAAAACTACTGACTAAAACTACTACCCACAACTATTGACCACAACTATTGACCACAAAATCTACTGATCACAACTAATGACCACAACTACTGACCACAACCACACAACTACTGACCACAACTGGTGACCACAACTACTGACCACAACCACACAACTACTCACCACAACTACTGACCACAAATACGGACCACAACTACTGACCACAAATACTGACCACAATCACACAACTACTGACCACAACTACTGACCACACCTACTGACTACAACCACACAACTACTGACCACAACAACTGACCACAAATACTGACCACAACTACACAACTACTGACCATGCCTACTGACCACAAACACACAACTACTGACCACAACAACTGACCACAAATACTGACCACAACCACACAACTACTGACCACAACTACTGACCATGCCTACTGACCACAACCACACAACTACTGACCACAACTACTGACCATGTCCATACTGTAGGGCCCAAAGAACTTGTAACATAACCACACAACTACTGACCACAATTACTAGCCACAACTACTGACCACAAAAACCACTGACTAAAACTACTGACCACAACTATTGACCACAAAACCTACTGACCACAACTAATGACCACAACTACTGACCACAATTACTGACCACAACCACACAATTACTGACCACAACTAGTGACCACAACTACTGACCACAACCACACAACTACTGACCACAACTACTGACCACAAATACTGACCACAACTACTGACCACAAAAACTACTGACTATAGGACAAAACACACATCACGACAAGAGAGACACCACAACACTACATAAAGAGAGACCTACGACAACAACATAGCATGGCAGCAACACCACATGACAACAACATGATAGCAACACAACATGGCAGCAGGCCAACATGGTAGCAGCACAAAACATGGTAGAAACATTATTGGGCACAGGCTATAGCACAAAGGCAAGAAGGTAGAGACAACAATACATCACGCGAAGCAGCCACAACTGTCTGACTGATTGAGTCTTTGAATGAAGAGATGGAGATAAAACTGTCAATTTTGAGTGTTTTTTGCAGCTCGTTCCAGTCGCTAGCTACAGCGAACTGAAAAGAGGAGTGACCCAGGTATGTGTGTGCTTTGGGGACCTTTAACAGAATGTGACTGGCAGAACGGGTGTTGTATGTGGAGGATGAGGGCTGCAGTAGGTATCTCAGATAGGGGGGAGTGAGGTCTAAGAGGGTTTTATAAGTAAGCATCAACCAGTGGGTCTTGCGATGGGTATACAGAGATGACCAGTTTACAGAGGAGTATAGAGTGCAGTCAGTGATGTGTCCTTTAAGGAGCATTGGTGGCAAATCTGATGGCCGAATGGTAAACAACATCTAGACGCTAGAGAGCACCCTTACCTGCCGATCTATAAATTACGTCTCTGTAATGTAGCATGGGTAGGATGGTCATCTGAATCAGGGTTAGTTTAGCAGCTGGGGTGACAGAGGAGCGATTACGATAGAGGAAACCAAGTCTAGATTGACCTTAGCCTGTAGCATTGATATGTGCTGAGAGAAGGACAGTGTACCGTCTGGCCATACTCCCAAGTACTTGTATGAGGTGACTACCTCAAGCTCTAAACCCTCAGAGGTAGTAATCACACCGGTGTGGAGAGGGGCATTATTCTTATCAAACCACATAACCTTTGTTTTGGAGGTGTTCAGAACAAGGTTAAGGGCAGAGAAAGCTTGTTGGACACTAAGAAAGCTTTGTTGTAGAGCGTTTAACACAAAATCCGGGGAGTGGCCAGCTGAGTTAAAGACTGTATAATCTGCATATCAAGTTCTGACTTTATATACTGCACTCTTTGAGAGAGGTAGTTAGCAAACCAGGCAAAGAACCCTCAGAGACACCAATATTCCTTAGCCGGCCCACAAGAATGGAATGGTCTACAGTATCAAAAGCTTTGGCCAAGTCAATAAAAATAGCAGCACAACATTGCTTAGAATCAAGGGCAACGGTGACATCATTTAGGACCTTTAAGGTTGCAGTGACACATCCATAACCTGAGCGGAAACCAGATTGCATGATAGCCATCAAGAAAGCCAGTCAGTTGATAAACATAAAAGAGCAGACAGATATAAAAAGACCCAGACCCCCCCCCCCCCCCCCCCCCCCCCCCCCCCCCCGATGGAAAGATCAGCAGTGAGAGTGCATTGACATTTACAAATTCACAGCGCCGAATGGTCCAAATAAGAGAGGAGTGGTTGCCAGATTTGATAAAAAGTGTAGAGTGTTTGCCAAATCACTGAGCCATAATTTGGTAGAGGGAACTTTCTTATTTTCCCAAAACAACAAGATTAATTTTTTGCCAAAATGAGACTGTAAGAGATGAGTTGTTTTGGGGGGTTGGTTAATCTGTTTAGGGTTTCTGAGACTCCCAGTATGATCAGAAGCGGGTCTGGGTCGATTAAAGTCTCCAGAATTTCCCAGAGGATCCTAAAGATTCCACACCAATAACCATGCAGGTTAGAGCATAGGGCAAAGCAGTGGAGTAGTGTACCCTCCACAGCATGACATTTATCACACTCAGGAAATATCCTATGCAGCTTAGTTTTGGAATAGTGTAATCTGTGTAATATCTTGAATTGTATGAGACAATGTCTGGAGTTAATGGAGCAGGTGTGGATATACTCCAAGCTATCTTCCCAGTCTGCTACAGAAATGTCAGTCCCTAGCTCGTCCTCACATTTTGCCTTAATGGCATCTGTAGAGGGTGTGCTAACAGATTGAAAAGCGTCTTATAGACGAGATATCAGTTTGCCTGAGGTGGGACAAATGTTGATGCATCTGTAAAACATGGAAGGTTTAGCATTTCCAAATGTAGGAAGATGTTTTCTAACATAGTCTCTAATCTTTATCTGAAAAAATTACTTCAGGGAAGATTATAGGTTTCCCTCAGCAAATCGAAGGAGGCAAAGGCTATACTTTTAAAACTGTAAGCATTTAAAGGCATTGGTTTTACTGAAAGATATCTCGAAGATACAGGCCGAACTATTTCACTGTGTAAACTTCTTCCACTACCATTAATAATAATACTTTCGGACAGCTAAGCAAGCACACAAAGTTTCTACTGAAATGTCCTTTTCTAGTTGTCATTGTTGTAAAGAACCCTCCTTTTCTTTTGTTTGCTGAAGTGCGAAGGCCCACCTGAACTCATCAACACTATCACAGTTTATTGTGAAATAAACAGGAATTACTTATTGGAAATTTGTGACAGGCACAAGAAAAAGTACACTTTTCTTGTGTATCATTTTTCTTTCTTTCTTCATAACGTAGTTGTGTCTATTTCACAATAATCTGTGATACTGGGTTGAACTCACACACAAACTATACTTGTCTGTGTGAAAACAGAGAGACACAGTTTTCAGCAGAGGATGCTCTTCCTTTAGAGCACCTCAGCATCCAATTGATATGCTCAGAGGCTTTTAAGAGGGAGTGCCATTCCCTCACCCCCAGTAAACATGGAGGAGTGCATGAGGCTATGGACAAGTTTAATGATAGGCGCCAAACCAATGTCAAACCACTTGGGTATGTGACCCCAATCAACAGCTAGCCCAAGGTTTCCCAAACTCTGTCCTGGTCCATTATCTGTCAATACATTTTACTATTTACATGTTAGTCATTTAGCAGACGCTCTTATCCAGAGCGACTTAGTTAGTGAGTGCATACATTTTCATACTGGCCCCCCCTTGGGAAACGAACCCACAACCCTGGCGTTGCAAGCGCCATGCTCTACCAACTGAGCTACAGGGACCCCCCCCCCCCCCCCCAACCAGAAACAACATGCAGTCAGACAATGCCGTCAATATGCTGTTGCATGCCAGTGATTCATCTGGGTAGGGAACCACTAGTCCAGGGGTAGGCAACCCTACTCCTGGAGGGCCGCAGGCACTTCATGTTTTTGTTTTAACAACCCTGGAAGACCAGTGTGTTGAATTTCTATCACTGAACTGATCAATTAGCTCAGTTGGTCTGGTGTACCCCTGCGCTAGTCTTAATATTGGTGAACATACAAATGTGATGAAATCTTATCATTCAAATCCAATGTCCACTTCTGCTTCCTGCTGACTTTTTCTTGGTTTCTTCCAAGACAAAGACCTGACTTCAACTCTGGTCTTATTTTGGTTCAATAAGGTAACCATCAGGATCCCCCCACTGAGACCTTTTTCAGTTAATTGTTATACATTTATATATCACATCTTTCTATTAAAAATAATGTTATTTGATTAAGTCATCCAATCTGGTCTCTTCAATTCCTCATGCTATCATTTGCGTTTTATGACAGGGCTTCTGGTATTTGGGGTATTAACCCTTCCCCCTCTTTTTTTGTCAACAAGGAATTTTCTGATTGGTTCCTTGCCTTGCATGCTCCCTGCCTTGGAGAGATGGGTCCTTCAGTCACCTTGATAATGCCCAAGTGATTCAGATCTGGTGCATAACCATTTTAGCAGACACTAAACCAGGTAGTCTGTTGCTCGTTCCAGGCGCGCTGAACGGACACTAAAAAGACCCTAAACACTTCCAAATCTTGAAGGATGTCGGGGATCACAGTGAATTCGGATTGTGGAGAATGTTCAGCCCCTTCACATGAGCTTTGCACCACGGAATTACACCCATACTCTAGCATCGATGAGGATGATGAACTTCTGAAGTATATCTGGAGGGAATATTTGCATCCCAAGCAGTATGAATGGGTTCTTATTGCAGGATACATACTTGTTTTTTTCGTTTCTCTCATTGGAAACACATTAGGTAAGTTTTGTTAAAGGGTTTTGTCGCAGGATGGATTAATTGAGCCAGGATAATTTCTAAAAATGTCATCCTAATTTTAAAGTGCATGGCATTAGATCAAGTCCGCAAAGCTATCTGGGCTTCATTGAACATAATGGTACTTTCATAGAAGTTAGGCTACCGGTGAGTCGATTGTAGGCTATCCATATATATATGATTATTATTATTATTATTAAGATATTAATTTGGTGTTCACTAATGCAGTATCAGTAGACTACCGTCTATGAATAAAACATGAGTTTATTGACAATCGAATGTATTTGGGAAGCGTAAAATAAAGACCTTATCCGGAGCGCGGACATGCATGGGCATCTGTCGTATTCGTATGTGCATGTGACACGCGACAGCTAAAATGATAAGCCACGCGATCTGTAAAGTGATAAACCAGAATCAAAGTGGTGTACAAAGCATTCTCTTTAAACGGTATTTTTCCGTTTTGGGTGTTAATAATACTAATATAGGTGAGGGCATATTAGAAATTGGAAAGAACATATTTTTGGAGCATCTCTATTAGGCCTATGCTTCTAGTTCATAATAAGATGCCTGTAGAATAAATAAAGTTTACTGCATTAAGTAGATGCTTCCAGTTTTCAGAATAAGATTCTTGGGCAGTATCTTATCAAGACACTTAAGATACTGCTTAAACATGGCATGTTTGAATCCAATTGAATCTAGCCCTGGATAACTGCTATTATGAGATTATTGGCTAATCTAATTCTTGTTAATGGTCTTAATTAAGTGTCTACATTTCTTCTAAATAATTTTTTATGTGCTGACAATACGGGCAATCGTTTAACAATGTTTTCAAGTAGCCTACAAGTGCGTCTCATTTTCTCAGTGTGCAGTTTCTTTTGTTACCATGGCAGTGCTGTTCGCTTGTGTTGATAGGAACGGCATTTTTCTCTTTACCCGAAGTTTAGGGCACGATTTTAATAATTCTTCATGATCTGTTTGTGAATGAGACTGGTTTATTTGCCAATTATAATACGTGTCTGTAGTAAAGGTACACTGTGTCTTTAAGGCAGGAAGAGCGTTCTGTGCTTCTTGAAGAGCAGGGTTGGAGATGGAATGGTTCACTGCAGACTGGGGAACCTTTGAAAACGAGAAATCTGTTCAATATGTCTAACTCTCCTGAGTTGTAAACCTGTCCTGATGTCATACCCTGTGGATACTGAAAAGAGGCTATGTTGACTGTATTCATATCCATTATTTTTACCTTCCACATTATTTTGGCGTAAATTAGAAATGTGTTTATGACAGTCTTATCACAGATGTAGGCTTATTGTAGATTAAATTCGTCACTATTATACATTGTTATTTGACTGCCCTTTTCATAATCACCAAGGGAAATGTAAGAGACATAACAGGACAACTGTCACGCCCTGACTCAGAGGACGCTTATATGTTGAGTCAGGGTGTGTATATTCCTTGTTGTGATTTTCTATGTTGTATTTTCTATGTTTAGATCTAGTAGGTATAGATCTATGTTGGCCGGTGTGGTTCCCAATCAGAGGCAGCTGTCGCTCGTTGTCTCTGATTGGGGACAATATTTAGGCAGCCTATTGGCACTAGTGGGTTGTGGGATCTTGTTCTGTGTGAGGTATGTTGTTTGTCTACCTTGGACTGCATGTTTCGTTTGTTGTTTTGTCGTGTCGTGGTTATTCAATATAAATAAACATGTATGCATATCACGCTGCGCCTTGCTCCGTCCCGTCTGTAAACGATCGTGACAACAACAGGTTAATTTGAAATGAATTCATATTGATTATGCAATTGATAGCTGTTATTCAGGTGCTGTTATTCAGGTGTGTGCTGTGTGTTGTATTGCATTTGATTCAGAACAATCAATGTCATTGATGTCTCCATGTATTCCTAACAACAGCAGTTCTTGGTTGTGTCTTGTTGTCAGTTTGTTTTGCAGTGTGGAAAAACCATCACATGCGCACAGTGACCAACTGTTTCATTGTGAATCTCTCCTTTGCTGATGTCCTGGTCACCATCACCTGTCTCCCGGCAAGTCTTGTGGTGGACATTACAGAAACATGGTTCTTTGGAAACACTCTTTGTAAAATACTACCTTACTTACAGGTAAGAGGATGTTTCAAGGTTTTTATTTTCACATTTCCCAACTTTAACTTTGTCACGTGCCGAATACATTTATCATTTAGTATACACTCTTATCCAGAGCAACTGTATACATTTTCATACCGGTCCCCTGCGGGAATCAAACCTGCAACCCTGGTGTTGCAAGCTCCATACTTTACCAACTGAGTAACATCAGACTGCGAAAGGTGTAGACTTTACTATGAAATGCTTAGTCACGAGCCCTTTCCCAACAATGCAGAGTTGAAAAGTAAGAAAAGAGTAGCAAAATAAATCAATAAAAGGAAATAGTAACACAATAAAATACAATAACGAGGCTATTTACAAGGAGTACCAGTACCGAGTCAATGTGCTGGGGTACGAGGTAGTTGAGGTAATATGTAGGTATGGGTAAAAGTGACTAGGCAAGCAGGATAGAGAAGAGTGGCAGAAGCGTATGAAGGGTGTGGCGTCAATATTTACATTTGAGTCATTTAGCAGACGCTCTTATCCAGAGCTACTTACAGCTAGTGAGTGCATACATTTGTCATACTGGCCCCCCCGTGGGAATTGAACCCACAACCCTGGCGTTGCAAGCATCATGCTCTACCAACTGAGCTACAGGTGTGTGTGTGTGTGTGTGTGCATAGAGACAGTGCAAAGAAAATAGAAATGTAAGAAACAAAAAGGGGGTCAATGTAAACAGTCCGGGTAGCCATCTGATTAACTGTTCAGCAGTCTTATGGCTTGGGGGTAGAAGCTGTTTAGGAGCCTTTTGGTCCCAGACTTGGCGCTCCAGTACCGGTACCGCTTGCCACTTCAAGCTTGATAGTTGGTACGTAACTCCAGGGTACTAAACGCTATTCTTTAAAACACCTTTGAAGGGACCCCATAGTGATCCTTGTGCCACAGGAAAGTATTTTGCTTTCCCACCTCAACTGCTGTGGGCTCAGTCTTCTATGGATCAACATCATAATTCTCTTTTGATCCAGTGTGATGGAACATTCAGCCAAATGGGGCAGAATCCACAGCCATACTGTATACCAGAGGATTAGCCTAAAGATTCAGACCTTGCGGTCACTGTAATTACATCTTCCCGGTAAGGTCTGAACGGCAGGCTGCCATGATGAGGACACCGCGGAGCGGACGCGAGATATGGCACAGAAAACGTACCTCAAGGTGCTGTTCACCTAATTATCCAATTTTCCAAAATGATACATCAAGATTTGAAATACTTTTTTTTATTAAACTGCGATTTTCGTCAGCATGCTGGGGGTTGATTATACTTTTTTTGCCAGTGCTACAGACAGCTATATCAGTCCGCTAATACAGGACTAGTAAAGGCCCAGTTCACTATTTTTTGTTAATTATTTTTATTTTGTATAGATTTTTCAGTGGGTACTGCAGCACCCTCAGCACCCCTACTTTCCATGGCTATGAAAGCAACCCATTGGATTCCACAACACTTCTGTTAACTACTCACCCCAATGCATTTTCAAGGAATCCAATTGGCTGCTATAGCATTAGCTAGCCTAGCATGCAGTTTAATAAAAAACTAGCAGTTTTCCAATCTTCTCGATTCACCATTCGTAATTTCAGGATAATTAGGAGTACAGCGACATATTCCATCCCTGGATTGAGGTACATTTTCCAAGCCATTTACCGCTCCGGGCACTGGCTGTCCACATTCTGGCACAGCACCGTTCCGAATACAGAGAAGAAATGAATGAATGTCGGATTCTGGCTAGTCCGAGGATATGACAAACAAAACAACCTGTCTCCAGTTATTTTCAAGTTTAATGGGGGCATACTTTTTCAATGCAATTTGCCTATTGAAAAAACCTCTTGCCTAACCATTGTGAAAATAACAGTGAAATTATTTAAAGGGAGCCTCTCAATCCATGTCTGACTCATATTATTTTGCATTCATGCTGGGACAAATATAGTACATAGTGTAATTACATTTTTGCAATGCTGCCTGTTGAAAAATATGGTCAGGAGATTGAAAAAAGGGTTTATCAGGTTAGTTAATCTTTGAATTTCCTTTCTTTAACTAGGCAAGTCAGTTAAGAACAAATTCTTATTTACAATGACTGCCTACCCCTGCCAAAACCTCCCCTAACGATGCTGGGCCAATTGTGCGCCGCCCAATGTGACTCCCGATCACGGCCGGTTGTGATACAGCCTGGGATCGAACCAGGGTCTGTAGTGATGCCTCTAGCACTGAAATGCAGTGCCTTAGACCACTGCGCCACGTGGGAGGCCTTAACACAGGACTGTATCCAAAACCCACAGACAAATGCCTGGAGTCCTATCAATAACGTCCTGGTCTGAATTACTCCGTTATCATTCATGTCTGTCTGAAAGACAGAGTGGAGAGGACTACAATTTTCCAACAGAGGAGAGGCAGCTGGTGGTCTCTCACCCCATCAAGAGCTAAATTAAAACCATTTATAAAACATTTACCTGATGAGCTGCAGAAGCAGAATATTAAATTGGTTTTCTCCCCTGGCCTTCTTGCAGTATGACATAGGTACTCTCCAAAGGAAGGTCATATGTAAATGCTGCACAAACTTAATTGACATTTTCATTAGTTACTCCAATATTTACTACAGCACTGTGTGTACATCTTGCCTATCCTAATGGCTGTGTGAAGCATGGCTGAGGTAAATTGGAATAGCTGTAGGGCCAATTTGATGTGTCCATTTGCTAAAGGATGTTAATGAGAGAGCTGAAAATGTCCCCCATTGTCAGTCAGATGGACCCAATTGTAATTCTTACAGCTCCTCTACTGTCTACGGTCTCTAATTGATATTTGAGTGATGGCTGCAGACATTAAAGGAACATAACGCTTCAAGATAAAAGTGTGCCAGAAGTTTTAAGACATCAAAAGTAGTCTAATATCAAGAAAAGTCCTGTGTTGCTCAGTTGGTGGAGCATGGCACTTATGGTGCCAGGGTTGTGGGTTTGATTCCCACGGGGGACCAGTACGAATTAAGTATTAAAATGTATGCAGTTGCTCTGGATAAGAGAGTCTGCAAAATGTAAAAGGCCCAGGCTGTCTGTTTTATAGATCCAGCTATATGACACAATCTAAAACGACTGGAAAGAATACACCAGCCCCATATACATTTTAGTCATTTAGCAGACGCTCTTATCCAGAGCGACTTACAGTTAGTGAGTGCATACATTTGTCATACTGGCCCCCCGTGGGAATCAAACCCACAACCCTGGCGTTGCAAACGCCATGCTCTACCAACTGAGCTACATCCCTGCCGGCCATTCCCTCCCCTACCCTGGACGACGCTGGGCCAATTGTGCGCTACCCCATGGGTCTCCCGGTCATGGCCGGCTACGACAGAGCCTGGATTCGAACCAGGATCTCTAGTGGCACAGCTAGCACTGCAATGCAGTGCCTTAGACCACTGCGCCACTCGGGATAATTTCCAGATTTGTGATGCTTATCTTTTTATTCATATAAATAAATAAATGAAGTTGCCAAATTATCTCTAGAAAGTGTTATGATTAATATAAGCCCATAATCATAATAATTCCTGCCACTCTAAACCAACAGAGGAACTTATAAGGATAGCAGAAAATGGCTGGTAGGTTCATATCACTGTGATGAGTAACAATGCTAATTTAGGGCTGTGAGGTTCATGGAATTTTGGATGACGGTTATTGGTCTGCCAAATGACCGCGGTCACGTAACAACCGCTTGAATAGCAAAAAACAACAACCCAAAAACGTTTTATTTTTAAAGATGCAAATGTTCTCCTCTCCGCTCCTCTTTGCATGTGCTGCCATAGAAATACAATGAATGGAACGGGCATCCCCATTCAAGACAATGGTGGAATAATGGGTGGACTGGCGGCCATTGCGTTGGTCTTCATTTAAGGTTAGGGTTAGGCATAAGGTTAGCAGTGTGGTTAAGGTTAGGGTTAGGTTTCAAGTGGGTGGCTCAATTGGTAGAGCATGGTGCTTGTAAACCCAGAGATGTGGGTTCAATTCCCATGAGGGCCAGTACGAGATTGTATGCCCTCACTACTGTAGGTCGCTCTGGATAAGAGCATGCTAAAATGTAAAATCACATTTTAAGAAGATAAATTGTAGAAATAGGCGGGGTTTAGGACTTTGTGGCTGTGCTAACTAGTGACTACCACTGAATATGTGCTGTGATTTGTTGATTCAACTCAACTGACATTACAAAAAATTAATTTGATTGCATGAGCCACATCATTTGAATGAACATTCTAAATTACCAGGGAAATTATTGCGTCAATACTGTAGAAACAAACTCAACCGCAGGAATGCCCGGCCGTCCCGTCATAAATTAGCTGTATGCTCCAAATAAAAACCACAAAAAATAACGGTTTTGACGGTTATTTTATTTTCATGACAGTCTTCATCCATAACAGTCGGTTATACGACAATACGGTTATACGGTAATTGTGCCAGCCATAATCATCATAGGTGTTTCATATTACAGCTACTTATAATTTCCTGGAAACATCTATCTATTCATAGGAAATGTATTATCAGTTTACACTTAAAGAAAACAAGATTGTTATTAATGCTGAGAATGTTGACTATTAAGGGAATATAGTAGACCTGTTGAATATAGACTAGGGCCCCCATACTTTGACAGTATTTCCCCATCTCAGCCATATCAACAGTAATGCCATTTTCTTTTTTTTGTTGCTAGAATTTGTCTGTATTGTGTAAACTCAGATTCATCATATAAATGTTTATATTGTAATCATCCTTTGGTTATGGTAGTTAGTCAGACTTCATCATATATACTGTATATAATACTAATCCCTGACAGTTGATTATCTCTGCGCTTCTAATAAAGACGCAGACACACCAGTACCATTTGCCGGCTGAGAGTACTTAGCACCTCTGAATGGAGTGCCGCCCGTAATTTTCAAACCGAGTGCAAGCCGATTCTACATGTAGAATCCTGTGAAAATGTCAGCAGTCAGACGTCCTTTGTTTGTCCAAGGGAAATCACTGATTTTCTCTCTGCAGGTATATATTAAGTCTAGTACTTTTTGCCCTGGTTCACTTTGTGCTTTAATTAACTGCACATCCTCTTTTTCAATCTCCCAGACAATCTCCGTATCTGTGTCAGTCTTGACTCTGAGCTGCATCGCTCTCGACCGCTGGTATGCAATCTGCCACCCGCTGATGTTCAAAAGCACGGCCAGGCGCGCCCGCAAGAGTATCATCCTCATCTGGTTGGTTTCCTGTGTCATCATGATCCCTCAGGCCATCGTGATGGAGTGCAGCAGCCTGCTCCCTGAGCTCACCAACAAAACCAGCCTTTTCACTGTGTGTGATGAGCACTGGGGAGGTAGGCAGGCATCCACAAACTCCCTCCTCTCAATGCCACAGGACCTCGCCAAGGGACTGTAACCCCAGCCCAGACCAACTTCTAATACTTCTACTTGATTGAGCTTGCCTGAATTGAGTACTCCACTGGAGTAGTCCCAAAAATATAAAGCGTGCCCATTTAGAATTCCAGGCAGCCTCTAGCAAACACTCACTATTTGAACCAAGGTCTTGACCAAAGGCAACCGGCATATTTCAGTTATTGTGACGAAACCTCCAGAGCTGTTGTCAGATGGGGAATAATTAAGCAATAAGTCCTGAGGGGGTGTGGTATACGACCAATATACCACGGCTAAGGGCTGTTCTTTCGGACGACGCAACGTGGAGTGCCAGGATACAGCCCTTAGCCGTGGTATAGTGTCCATTTACCACAAACCCCCGAGGTGCCTTATTGCTATTGTAAACTGGTTATCAACGTAATTAGAACAGTGAAAATGATTTTTTTTGTCATACCCGTGGTATACGGTCTGATATACCACAGCTTTCAGCCAATCAGCATTCAGGGCTAGAACCACCCGGTTTATCATTTATAAACACTAGAGCAGCTCCACAAATGTGCTGGTTATTTCTGATGGAATCAATATTCCATAGGAGCATTAGAAAATAACATTTATAGTGTCTCCTGCGTCGCTATCACTCGTAAAGGAAAATTCCACCCAAAGACTATCTATTGGTATTTGTTTCATTAGTCCATTGTTCATATAGTCCCAAAATGTTTAGACTTTCAAAATACAGAAAAGCGCAGCATCATGTGATGCAAAATGCATCATACAGTGCCTTGCAAAAGTATTCATCCCCCTTCGCGTTTTTCCTATTTCACTACAAATTGGTGAAGTGAAATGAAAAAAATAACGGAAAAGTGTTGCGTGCATATGTATTCATCCCCTTTGCTATGAAGCCCCTAAATAAGATCTGGTGCAACCGATTACCTTCAGATGTCACATAATTAGTTAAATAAAGTCCACCTGTGTGCAATCTAAGTGTCACATGATCTGTCACATGATCTCAGTATATATACACCTGTTCTGAAAGGCCCCAGAGTCTGCAACACCACTAAGCAAGGGGCACCACCAAGCAAGCGGCAGCGTGAAGACCAAGGAGCTCTCCAAACAGATCATCGACAAAGTTGTGGAGAAGTACAGATCAGGGTTGGGTTATAAAAAAAGATCAGAAACTTTGAACATCCCACGGAGCACCATTAAATCCAAAAAAAAATTGAAAGAATATGGCACCACAACAACCCTGCCAAGAGAGTGCCGCCCACCAAAACTCATGGACCAGGCAAGGAGGGCATTAATCAGAGAGACAACAAAGAGACCAAAGATAACCCTGAAGGAGCTGCAAAGCTCCACAGCGGAGATTGGAGTATCTGTCCATAGGACCACTTTAAGCCGTACACTCCACAGAGCTGGGCTTTACGGAAGAGTGGCCAGAAAAAAAGCCATTGCTTAAAAAATAAAAAAAAATAAGCAAACACGTTTGGTGTTCGCCATAAGGCATGTGGGAGACTCCCCAAACATATGGAAGAAGGTACTCTGGTCAGTTGAGACTAAAATTGAGCTTTTTGGCCATCAAGGAAAACGCTATGTCTGGTGCAAACCCAACACCTCTCATCACCCCGAGAACACCATCCCATGCTGTGGGGATGTTTTTCATCGGCAGGGACTGGGGAACTGGTCAGAATTGAAGGAATGATGAACGGCGCTCAATACAGGGAAATTCTTGAGGGAAACCTGTTTCAGTCTTCCAGAGATTTGAGACTGCGACGGAGGTTCACCTTCCAGCAGGACAATGACCCTAAGCATACTTAAGGGGAAAAATTTAAATGTCTTAGAATGGCCTAGTGAAAGCCCAGACCTCAATCCAATTGAGAATATGTGGTATGACTTAAAGATTGCTGAACACCAGCGGAACCCATCCAACTTGAAGGAGTTGGAACAGTTTTGCCTTGAAGAATGGGCAACAATCCCAGTGGCTAGATGTGCCAAGCTTATAGAGACATACCCCAAGAGACTTGCAGCTGTAATTGCTGCAAAAGGTGGCTCTACAAAGTATTGACTTTGGGGGGGGGGGTGAATAGTTATGCACGCTCAAGTTTTTTTGTCTTATTTCTTGTTTGTTTCACAATAAAAAATATTTTGCATCTTCAGTGTGGTAGACATGTTGTGTAAATCAAATGATACAAACCCCCCAAAAATCAATTTTAATTCCAGGTTGTAAGGCAACAAAACAGGAAAAATGCCAAGGGGGGTGAATATTTTCGCAAGCCACTGTACCAGCTGTATTTCTGCATTTTGAAAGTTATTCATCTTGAAAACCTGATTGCTGACATGCAAAACATGTTGGGACTAAATCAACAATGGACTAATGAAACAAATACCAAAAGCTCGTTTTGGGGTGGAATTTTCCTTTAAGGGATTCTGAACTTGTGTGAGACCAGTATCCAAATGAGTTGCTGGGACAATGTCCTTAATTCACTTAATTTCTAGGAAGAATTCAATTAGATCAAAATGTAACCAAATCTTATTTTATCTTCGCTGCTGTATAGTATTCTAATCATATACTAAGTACGGGGATAACTAAGTAGAATTCAAAAGGTACTCGCACTCAAACCATGCAGAAAAAAACATGCAGGAGGCAGATATAAAATAACATTGGTGTTTAATTACATTCTTGACAGTGAACACAAAAAGGTGCAAATGCAAGTGGCAAAAAAGTGCAAACAGAAAGCATAGGTTTCTACCATCATCTACTGTCAAGCATGTAATTACAGAGCAAAAATATGTTTCTATTTGGGCCTCTTGCAAGTTATTTCTACATGGTTGAGTGTTCTATCCAGCCTCCTACATATTTTTCTACATGGGTGGGTACCTTTTGAATTCTACTCAATGAATAATATAAATGCAACATCCATGATGACACGATATTGAAAACAAGTCACTGTCTTCCTTTGATAGGAAAAACTACTATCTAACCAGACTGTATGATTAGGGCAGTGGTGGATGGTGGCACTTTAAATGGGGAGGACGGGCTCATAGTAATTGCTGGAACGGAATTAATGGAAAGTTATCAAACACCTGGTTTTCCATTCCATCCATTATTATGAGCTGTCCTCCCCTCACCAGCCTCCCATTTATCTGTCCTGCTGAATGATTCACGGTCAGACAGTTGAAAAAGACTTGGAAAGCATCGAGGGATGACTTTGCAGGTCATCTGATAAAAGAGGCTTGGATGCCTCTTGATTGCTATAGACAAATACTCTCACACAGAAAACCTTTCAACTATTGGCAGCACAATTGTTTAGATAGCCTTGACACATTCATTTATTTTCTATCGATTGAATGAGCGAGATCAAAGTACTCCATCTCTCAAATTCGTTTTAGTGTGGAAAACCTTTGCAGGAATTTGTCCTCATGCAAACTCTCAACTTTAAAGGTTGATATCTACCGATGTAGGATCTTAATTTACTGTAGGATCTTAATTTGATGCAGGACATTTAAAACTTGTAGTGTATGTGATTTTTTTTTTAATGTCCATTTATTATGTAAGGGATAATCAACGAGGGGCAATGCGTTCTAAGGAAAATAATGATTGACGTGGAAGGTGTGTTCCACGACGCGCTAGCAGAGTGGAACTGACCTTACATGGAGTTCCATTATTTTCCAGAGAACGCATAGAGCCCCAAGTTGATTGTCCCTTTTACAGTATACCATGACTATAATTTAACACATTTGCCACTAGAAATGTGTTCATTTGCCGTAAGAAATGTGTTCAACATCCACTGAAGTAGCTAGCAAGTTTACTAGATAGCTACAGTAGTTGCCATTGGAAACCAAACAAACAGACTTGCTAGTTTAGCTAATCAAACCATCAGTCCTAGCTTGCTGTTATGAAAATGGAATTCACCAATGTCAATAATGTTTTCAATTCGACTTTTGCTTTCAAGAGCAGGTCAAACATAGAACATGTAAGAATTAACTATTAACATTAAATTCTAACATGCGGATATACCGTGTGTTATAGGGAAATAATGTATGCTCTAGAATGCCCTTCAAGCCAATCAGAAACGAGTATTCAACAATGCTATGGTATAAAATCCATATAATAGTTTACTTTTCCTGTTTGCTGTAGGATTATTTTCGTGCTGTCGCTAACTGGCTCAAATTAAGATCCTACATACGCTATGTGGACACCCCTTCAAATTAGTGGATTCGGCTATTTACACCTGCTGATGACAGCTGTATAAAAACGAGGACACAGCCATGCAATCTCCATAGACAAACATTGGCAGTAGAATGGCCTTACTGAAGAGCTCAGTGACTTTCAACGTGGCACTGTCATAGGATGCCAGCTTTCCAACAAGTCAGTTCGTCAAATTGCTCCCCTGCTAGAGCTTCCCCGGTCAGCTGTAAATTCTGTTATTGTGAAGTGAAAACGTCTAGGAGCAACAACGGCTCAGCCGCGAAGTGGTAGGCCACACAAGCTCACAGAACGGGATGGCCGAATGCTGAAAAGCATAGTGTGTACACATCGTCTGTCTTTGGTTGCAACACTCACTCCAAACTGCCTCTGCAAGCAACGTCAGCACAATAACTGTTCGTTGGGAGCTTCATGAAATGGGTTTCCATGGACGAGCGGCTGCACACAGGCCTAAGATCACCATGCGCAATGCCAAGCGTCGGCTGGAATGGTGTAAAGCTCACCGCCATTGGACTCTGGAGCAGTGGAAACATGTTCTCTGGAGTGATTAATCACGCTTCACCATTTGGCAGTCCGACGGAGGACGAATCTGGGTTTGGCGGATGCCAGGAGAACGCTACCTGCCTGAATGCATAGTGCCAACTGTAAAGTTAGGGGAGGAGGAATAATGGTCTGGGCTAGGCCCCTTAGTTCCAGTGGAGGGAAACCTTAACGCTACAGCATACAATGACATTCTAGGCGATTCTGTGCTTCCAACTTTGTGGCACTTTCCTTTTTCAACATGATGATACCCCCATGCACTAAGCGAGGTCCAATGTTTTGTCGAGATCGGTGTTGAAGAACTTGACTGGCCTTCACAGAGCCCTGCCCTCAACCCCAAATAAACAGCTTTGGGATGAATTGGAACGCCGGCTGCGAGCCAGGCCTAATCGCCCAACATCAGTGCCCGACCTCACTAATGCACTTGTGGCTGAATGGAAGCAAGTCCCTGCTGCAATGTTCCAACATCTAGTGGAAAGCCTTCCCAGAAGAGTGTGATAGCAGAAAGGGGGGACCAACTATATATTAATGCCCATGATTTTAGAATGAGATGTTCGACGAGCAGGTGTCAACATACTTTTGGCCATGTAGTGTATGTACAGTACCTTCATCTCAGACTGATGCCGCATTCACGTGCTAGTCAGAACTCGGAAATGTCAGACTTGCTAACTGGTTGAACACGACACGTATATAACTACAACCAGTTAGCAAGTCGGACATTTCCGAGTTTTTTAGTTCTGACTAGCACGTGAACGCGGCATTACTCATGACTCAAATCTCTGAAATGCCAAAGTTATCTTTTAAGTCGTATGGGGTCAGTTCCATTGCCAGGATGCAATTATTGCTCAGCAGTTTGTCTAATGCAGGGGTGTCAAACTCATTCCATGTAGGGTAGAGTGCATTAATAAAATGGTATGCCCGCTCCACTGGAGCCTCCTCAGAGGAGGAAGGGGAGGACCATCCTCCTCAGTGAATTTCAGAAAAATTAAAAAAAATTAACATTGAAAAAGTTATCCTTTTTAGATAAAATTATATTACAATACTACAAATAATTGATTAAAACACATTGTTTTTTAACACATTAGTTCTATTAGCTATGTTGACTAGGACATTACTTTAGCTAATATGAGGATAACGATGTAGCGCTTATGACAGGGTTTGGCTTGGAACGTTTTTTTCGCCTGGTCACATACAGCTGATGTGTTGTTCATTGAAGTCCACGAACGAAGGGAAAAGGTGAGAGGAGGTGAGTGCATAGAGGCGAGAAGGAATACAACGTGGCTGCTATAAAAGTGAACTGTGTTTATGCGTGATATGGGGTGTATTCATTCCAACAATTCTGTTGAAAACAGTTTCTTAAACGGAAGCAAACGAAACAGGGATCAAAATACCTGAATTTGTCCAATAGAAACACTTGTTTGCAACTGTTGGACTAATGATTACACCCTAGATAAGATAGATGCAGGCAAGAATGTGCAAGGCGGTATTGAATGTGTCAATGTCTGTCCATGGGTCACTGTCTGTCATCTCAAATCTTCCTCTCGACCTGTGTGCGCCTACATTTGTAAACTTTCATTCATAGGCTAGGTTATAGCAACCTCATGATGGGTATAGGGAAAATTCGAGTATCATGTAGTAGCCTAAACCTATCGATGTTACATTGAACTGGGTGAATGGAATATGAATGAGAGTCATATAGAAATAAGGTCATGCTCATAAAAAAATTATAATCGTAAACGGCACTGACCGTCACTGGCCCACTCACACCTATCTGTTTCATGTCAACAAGTATTGACTAATATTTGCAACATTCTAATAATTCTCATGTGCCGACGTATCGCCCAATCGTGCCATGGTTAAACGTGCACTCCTGTAGACCTGAAATAATTGGATCGTGGAACTTGCATCCAGCCAACCAGAAAAGCAAGGTGAAGCAGTTAATTCATTCTTGATAGTCAGGACAAGTCTTGTCCTGCTAAGAAACATTATTTTTATAGTTGAAAAAAATAGATTTAGCAAGCAGTAGTCATTTAGATTAAGGATAAATGTGGAGTAGAGCTTTATAGTTATGTGATGACACCACATGCCCAGCGTACCTTCAAAATTATTCGGCAATCATTATTTATTCGAAAAACACAGTTTCCATCATAATTTGTAGCAATAAAAAAAAATTTGACAAAAGAAAAATCCGACCCTGTTGAACATACAAAAATTTAGTAGATGTAGAACATCTACTGCATTTTTATCATTTACTACATTTATGTAATGTTCAACAGGGGCGGATTTTTCTATTGTCAACTTTTTTTATTGCTACAAATTATGATGGAAACGGTGTTTTTCTAATAAATAATGTAGTAGATGTTTAAAACATTTCGCCTATAACTGCCGTTTACATTACACATGTCGCAATGTTTTCTTTTGTGACATTGATTTTGTGGAATAAACCTGGGTCAATGGAAACCTGCCTACTTATTCAATTGTTATTTCGTAAAGTGTAGAATGTTGTATTTGTTCAGCTGAACCTTTCTTTGATAGGAACCATATTTCAGCACAATCTGATGATTCCCTTTAAAAAAAATAAATTCAGTTCTGTCTTGCCACTCAATTTAGATTCCTGCACAGTAACTACAAGCTCATGCATGTTACTGATAAATATGTATATCAATGTAGCCATGTTTGTTTGCCCTTTGCGTTTTACCAATTACCACCACAATTCCTACAGTACCCTTACGAAAAAACCACATGAATCTCACATGTGAACACCTGAAGTATTCCAAAATCATGTGATCACGTGATCTTATGTGAAGTTAATGTGACAACATGTAAATCAACATGTGATAACATTAAACTACACCTGAAAACATGTGATCACATGTGAAGTGTTACAAAAACATGTTTTCACGTGACATAACATGGAACATTTCATGTGAAATCATGTGGTTTTTCTGTAAGGGTAGCACCTCTAATTTACATCTATGTCACAATAATTTAGCTAAGTCATATTTTATTCTCCCAATAGCTGATGTCTACCCCAGGGTCTATCACACCTGTTTCTTCATCGCCACATACCTCGCTCCCCTCTGTCTGATGGTTCTGGCATACACCCAGATATGTCATAAACTGTGGTGTCAACAGGTATGTATGTAAATGTTTTGTGAACAATAACAGACAACATTTGCACTGTTTCTTAGCAATCTGGCTGTTTGTTGATTGATCATGCAGTCATCAAGTTATCAGTGTCCATTATCCTTGCAATTATTTGACAATGCACTCTCAGAATATGCACTCCACTGTTCAGATCCATTCCATTGAGCTTTTTTAATGTTTTGAGTTTTAATGAGTCGGACAAGCAAAAGCTGTTCAAAGACCACAGTGTGATCGGCTGTGGGTTGGGTTCTTTAAACAGATTCCTGGGACGTCATCTGTGCTGCAGAGGAAGCGGACGTCCCTCCAGTGTTCCGCTTATCCCCCAGGTCCTGGGGAGTCAGCCAGGGTCCGGACCAGCACAGTGTCCGCTGAGATCAAACAGGTCCGGGCCCGCAGGAAGACCGCCCGCATGCTGATGGTGGTGCTCTTCGTCTTTGCCCTCTGCTACCTGCCCATCAGCGTCCTCAACATCATGAAAAGGTAGCAGCCACTTTGGGTGCTCTGTCTCTCTGTCATCAGGATCAATAGCCAATTCACTCTAGGATTCAACGTAGAGATGTTTCACGGAGTCAGTAGTTTGTAGGAGTCAGCCGTTTACGTTTGGAAATGAGTCATTTGACTCAAATAACAGTTGTCATTCACAGTAGTCCCTGGTAAACATTGTGTTTACAGAAAAAGGTGCTCACATACTGAGAATTGAGTAATCTGTAAGCATTAAATTAGCATACGTAGATGAGATTTGTTCTGCTCCATCAACGCGGTAAGACAACATATCTGGGATGTCTGTCTCTCAGGGTGTACATCATCGCCGTCTGATGAAAACCAATTTTCTCCAAAACAAAACTTTTCAGGAATTTGGGAAAAAATACCATAATTTCATATTAATATAGAATTATGAAACTAAATAATATATTTTCTTGGTCCTAGAGTCATGAAATGTTCAGAGTACATTGAGGGGAGTTACTGCTTTCATTAAATGTAAAACAATAATACAAATTGGCAAAACATTTAGTTACGAGGTTTTCATCAGACAGCAACGATATATTAATTGCTAGTTATTCATAGAATTAGGTAAACTATCTCTTTAATATCCCCCTCCCCCTCCCTCCATCTAGTAAATATGTGTACACTTGCAAACACCTGTCAATAAGCTACAGCTCCATTTACAGCTTCAACACACTTGGTGTCATTACTGACGAGGTCTCACTGATGTCACCTTGTCATTGCAGAGTATTTGGGACGTTTAAGTACACAAACAGCAGAGAGACTGTGTACGCCTGGTTCACGTTCTCACATTGGCTGATATATGCCAACAGTGCTGCAAATCCAATCATCTATAACTTTTTAAGTGGTGAGTTTATCTCAATATACTTAGTTCATGATTTTATTGCCCCATCTGCTGGACAGTACGGTACATCACAACACACTTAGTGGCACTTTGGAAGAGGGATTTGATGTGCAGCATAACTTGTTCAGTCAATTTTAATGGTAAAGAAACATAATACTGAAGTGGTAGAATTTCAACAGAATTCCCCTTTCATTTGAGGCTTGATTAGCGGTTTAGAGTGTTGGGTCAGTAACCGAAAGGTTGGTGGTTCAAATCCCCAAGCAGACTAGGAAAAATCTGCCGATGTGCCCTTGAACAAGGCCCTTAGCCCTAATTGCTCTGGATAAGAGCATCTGCTAAATTACTAAAATGTTATGTGTTTAACGAAGTTTAGCTTTTTTCCACAGGGAAGTTTCGAGCGGAATTCAAAGCAGCATTTTCCTGTCACTCTTTTGGCCGATGCCAGAACCAAACAGCGGGCATACGGAAAATAATAAACACTGACAGCCGTAAATCCTTGTCCACTCAAGTCAACAACATGGACAATGTCTCACGGATATCTGACCATGTGGTTTAATCCTATGCTGGGGCATGCTGGGAGTTCTTATAATTGCACCATGCCACCCAGGACACACTGGCATTCACTGTCGCCATGATATGTACAAAGATCACAATTAGAATTCATACACATTGTAACGTCAACCTTTTCATAACAGACATCTTGAATGAGACCACGTACTCCGAATCGGACTGAAAGCACTCAATATCCACCACCCTGTGTGAAAGCAAATCCCTCCCCAGGGGAAGAGAAGTGATTTGAATGAGTCATGTCTGTTACAGACGGATAACAGTCATATCGGCTCCAGTCTTTGATTCTCATCCCACCAGAGGCAGGAAGGAAGCACCCCATGGTGTTGTACACCTCACCAGAAAGAACAGACTGAAGGATGAATCACAATGCACAAAGATTAAACCCTATCAACGGTTATTATCAAAGCTTCTTAAAGCCGAAGATGGAGTACAAAAGAACAGTTTGCTCGTTAACTAGCCACATCAGTGTACTACATGTGTATTTGTGATGATGTTTACTTATGACTTCACTTATCGTAATAATAATTATTGTTATTATTAATATTTGTATTATTATTGTTGTTGATGCTGTTGTTTATTATTGTTATTATTATTGTTATTTCTTCCTATTCTATGTGTAATATCTGGTTATATGTTTACAGACGTGGTATTGTACATTGACAGTCCAGCCAAAGTTAGAAAACCTCCATGGAGGAATACATCTACAGAGGTTTTCATGACAAGGTGGAATGTTAAATTCTCACAACCTTATATCATAAAGACGGCTTTGTTTCTAATTCACTGCTGGACAAACAACAACCAATCAGAAGTAAATAACCCTACAAGACATTGAATTCTGATCGTTTTTTTTTACGACGTCTTATTTCATGTGAACCCTTGAAAAGCAGTTTCTACAATTGCTTTTGTTTGTTGTGAGTTCTTCTCAGGTGCTTGTTGTGATGATTTCTTATTGGTGTTTCTTATCATGTCATGTAATTTTCAAATAGTATGTTAAGCAGTTTCCCCTAGAAATGTATGTGTTCATGTAAGTGTTTGTTGTTTTTGATCTGTTTGAAGGTAAACATTTTAAACATTTATCATTGTTTGTTGTGCTTCTTGTAAAACAACATAGTATGTACAGTAAGTATTTGATCCCCTGCTGATTTTGTACGTTTGCCCACTGACAAAGACCTGATCAGTCTATAATTTTAATGGTAGGTTTATTTGAACATTGAGAGACAGAATAACAACAACAAAATCCAGAAAAACGCATGTCAAAAATGTTATGAATTGATTTGCATTTTAATGAGGGAAATAAGTATTTGACCCCTATGCAAAACATGACTTAGTGCTTGGTGGCAAAACCCTTGTTGGCTATCACAGAGGTCAGACGTTTCTTGTAGTTGGCCACCAGGTTTGCACACATCTCAGGAGGGATTTTGCAGATCTTCTCCAAGTCATTAAGGTTTCGAGCCTGACGTTTGGCAACTCGAACCTTCAGTTCCCTCCACATATTTTCTATGGGATTAAGGTCTGGAGACTGGCTAGGCCACTCCAGGACCTTAATGTGCTTCTTCTTGAGCCACTCCTTTGTTGCCTTGGCCGTGTGTTTTGGGTCATTGTCATGCTGGAATACCCATTTTCAATGCCCTAGCTGAGGGAAGGAGGTTCTTACACAAGATTTGACGGTACATGTGGTGAAGTTGTCCTGTCCCCTTAGCAGAAAAACACCCCCAAAGCATAATGTTTCCACCTCCATGTTTGACGGTGGGGATGGTGTTCTTGGGGTCATAGGCAGCATTCCTCCTCCAAACACGGCGAGTTGAGTTGATGCCAAAGAGCTCCATTTTGGTCTCATCTGACCACAACACTTTCACCCAGTTCTCCTCTGAATCATTCAGATGTTCATTGGCAAACTTCAGACGGGCCTGTATATGTGCTTTCTTGCGCAGGGGGACCTTGCAGGCACTGCAGGATTTCAGTCCTCCATGGCGTAGTGTGTTACCAATTGTTTTCTTGGTGACTATGGTCCCAGCTGCCTTGAGATCATTGACAAGATCCTCCCGTGTAGTTCTGGGCTGATTCCTTACCGTTCTCATGATCATTGCAACTCCATGAGGTGAGATCTTGCATGGATTCCCAGGCCGAGGGAGATTGACAGTTCTTTTGTGTTTCTTCCATTTGCGAATAATCGCACCAACTGTTGTCACCTTCTCACCAAGCTGCTTGGTGATGGTCTTGTAGCCCTATTCCAGCCTTGTGTAGGTCTACAATCTTGTCCCTGACATCCTTGGAGAGCTCTTTGGTCTTGGCCATGGTGGAGAGTTTGGAATCTGATTGATTGATTGCTTCTGTGGACAGGTGTCTTTTATACAGGTAACAAGCTGAGATTAGGAGCACTCCCTTTAAGAGTGTGCTCCTAATCTCAGCTCGTTACCTGTATAAAAGACACCTGGGAGCCAGAAATCTTTCTGATTGAGAGGGGGTCAAATACTTATTTCCCTCATTAAAATGCAAAATCAATTTATAACATTTTTTACATGCGGTTTTCTGGATTTTGTTGTTGTTATTCTGTCTCGCACTGTTCAAATAAACCTACCATTAAAATTATAGACTGATCATTTATTTGTCAGTGGGCAAACGTACAAAATCAGCAGGGGATCAAATACTTGTTTCCCTCACTGTATCAACATTGACCTTGTATTCATCAGACCTGGGTTCAAATACTATATAGGGTATTTCAATTACTTTCAAAGACATTTGGAAGTAAGTATTTTCATATTTTATTTGAAAACACAAGTATATTGGAATGTATTTGGAAATACACTTGGAAAGTATAAATAAACAGTGTATTTTTAAATACAGATAAAAACTCCTATGCATTTGAACCCAGGTCTGTTTGGTATTTGAAATAATGTTTTTGGAAATACGTTTAAAAATATATATTTTTATAGTAGGCTATTTATAGGAATGTATTTGAAAATACTCAAATACACAGTAAATACGTTTTTAAATAATACAAAATCAAATACACATTTATTTGAACCCAGGTCTGGTATTTATGGAGAGGGCCTACTCTATAGGGGCAAAATGTTTGAGATAAAATTTGATAGGCCACAGCATTCCAGGGGAATCCTGAGTAAAACAATAACTCACAGTGTGTTGTTATTCATGATGTTATCGATGTTGCTATTCATGATAATGAATATAATTTGTGTTATTCGTATTGTATTGTGTGTTATTCCATAATATTTGCACGTAAATAAACATGAAACTGTATGAACCTAAAAAGGAGAAATACATTGGTTAAGTAAACAAATCTCTGAAGCTGGAGACTCTTATCTCCCTCACTAACTTGAAGCATCAGTTGTCAGAGCACCTTACCGATCACTGCACCTGTACACAGCCCATCTGAAATTAGCCCACCCAACTACCTCATCCCCATATTGTTATTTATTTTGCTCATTTGCACCCCAGTATCTCTATTTGCACATCATCTCTTGCACATCTATCATTCCAATGTTAATACTAATTGTAATTATTTTGCACTATAGTCTATTTATTGCCTTACCTCCATAACTTGCTACATTTGCACACACTGTATATATCATTTTCTGTTGTATTTTTGACTTTATGTTTTGTTTTACCCCATATGTAACTCTGTGTTGTTGTTTTTATCGCACTGCTTTGCTTTATCTTGGCCAGGTCACAGTTGTAAATGAGAACTTGTTCTCAACTGGCTTACCTGGTTAAATAAAGGTGAAATATATATATATATATATATATATATATATATTTTTTTTTTTAAGTACACAGGAGGCTGCTGAGGGGAGAACGGTTCATAATAATGTCCGGAACGGCATCAAACACCTATAAATCATATGTTTGATGTATTTGATACCATTCCACTGATTCCGCTCCAGTCATTACCACGAGCCCGTCCTCCCCAATTAAGGTGGCACCAGCCTCCTGTGGTTAAGTATAAACTTGACCATGATTGACTAACCAGGTTGTATAGGCTATTATTTAAATGGCTGAATATACCCACCTCTTACTGACCACCACTGTCCTTATCCACTAATCATAACATTGATGAAAGCAACCTGGAGACAATGCGATGTGTTTTGTTATACAACTAATTAATTAGTGGTGTATGTATTCCACCCTGTCCTAAACATATTTCATTGACTGTCAGTCACCATGAGTTTGACAACTTTTAACATCTTACATTAGAATGAAATTTCAGTACTCCCTAAAGATTCAAGATAAAAGTTACCAAGTTATTTCATTTGATAACCCAATGCTGCATGAATAACAAGGGCACGAAATGTTTACTTTATGAGCATGAAGTATGATCTGTGCAATCAGCTGGACCTTAAACTTTAATTCACTTATCTGTTTAACTAACCATAACCTCAGAGGTGTAAGTACTTAGCCTAGATCCCACCTGCAAGTCTGGTTACCTTTCAACTGACGTCATAGCGATTGGTACGCACTGGGGTAATCGCCAGCTGCAAAGATCGGAGCTGTCCACTTGAAGAGGTACCAACCGAAAGGGAAGGTGTTACCATGCAGCGAACGACAGGTGTGAAAACCGCGATGGTAATTGGTGAGTATTTAAAGTCTACCGGTGATTTGGGGTATGTTTAGCTTCTTTTTACTGAGCCTCAAGCAGGTGAATTTCCTTTACTACTACTGTGATACCTGACCTATAAAGATAGACTGTAGCTCCCCAATGTAGAGTAAGTAGCAAAAGTGGTCAAGTTAAATAGAGGTATGATAATATCCATATGTTTAGTATTTGCATTTGCCAAATAAATTAGTGAATTGGCAGCCTACGGTAAACTTGCTTGAAATAATGCTACACAATCTACCCACTGGGCAAAAACTGGTTTAATCAACTATGTTTCCACGTCATTTCAACGGAAAAAAAAAATCTATATAATTTTACATTTAGCAGACGCTCTTATCCAGAGCGACTTACAGTTAGTGAGTGCATACATTATTATTTTTTCATACTGCCCCCCCGTGGGATTCGAACCCACAACTCTGGCGTTGCAAGCGCCATGCTCTACCAACTGAGCTACACGGGGCCCGATGTGATGATGCTGAATCAACGCGGAAAACTGATTGGATTTGCAAAAAGTCATCAATCTAAGGGCATTTCTTTTCTTTTTTTTACCCAACTTTTAACCTAAATCCAATGAAATTGGGATTTTTGTTTGTTTGTTGATTTTACATTGAATTCACAATTTAGCAAAATGTAAATCAAAACTGGACCTTGAACTGAGGTCTGTGCCCAGCCAGTAGTTTAAAGGGGAACATAAGGACAAAAGTTTTGTATTCAAATTCAAGCAGTAGCCTACTTTTCAGCTTGCTCAGTGTGAAATCCACTCATAAGAGAAGGATGGGGAAGGTGTTCTATCTACCAAAACGTTGGAGAAGAGTTCAATCCAAAGAAGATAACTTTAAAAATGTTGTATTCAAACTTTTTTTGTAAATATCTTCCAGTAGTTCTTGTTTACCAGATAACCAGCATCCAGATTTCATCCAGATCCACAGGCTGTTTGGCTTTTATGGAGACCTGCCTATCAGAGTCAGCTTTCTGTGAGAAAACATCTCTCAGAAACATCTGTAATCCTAAAGGTAATTTTTTTGCTGTAAGGGATTTAATCTGTTTTATTTGATTACTGGGACTTAACCATATTTCCATTCTTTGAGTGAATAAAATACTATCAAAAGCCATGGAACATAAATTAAATTACAAAAACATAATGTTCGATTCCACCCCTGTACGATATTAAGGAAACCTAATACCACTGAAGCAATAGCCTCAAGCCTATAGTCTTATGTGGAAAATGGATTTCCCACCTGTTATTGCCTAGAGCAGATGAAATTGTTGTCTCAGCGAGAGGATAAATAAAACCTCAATGACTGTAATTCTGGGAGCTGTAGGCTACATTGTTGTGAGAAATGGATTGGACATTTACATGTCCGTCTTTCTTTGGACTCCCACAAAGCTACGTCAAACCTTCCCAGAAATTATTTGTGTTTATTCTGAGATAATCAAACAATTCCTTTTGCCAATTACATGGTGGGGGGTAGCCCAGCCTTGAAAAAATAAACACCTGTTGCACAGAATACATATCAGTGCCAATGTGCATCTATTTAACTGCCTTTGAAAATCTGGTTTTTCTACCTCTTCTCCTTTGTGCTCAAATCCAGATGGAAGTTGCCAAATAAAAGGCTCAAAGGTCTGTAATATGACCATCCACTCCATTCTTGACCAATATCCTACCGTGAGAGGGTGTCTGTGTGCATGGGAGGAGCCCTGTACCTCTCTGGAACTACTCACATCACAATGCCTCCCTGAGACAGGTGAACCCATTCTCTCATACATGGTACAGATGTAGGATCTTCATTTGATCACCCTGTTGGAGAAGAACTTTAAAATTAATTAAAAACATGGTGTATTTGAGGTTTAAAAGGCTTCTGAAGTTTATAATTTCCACTTCTAAATTTCAGACTTGATCTTCCCTTTAGAAAAACGTATCAACCCCTACAAAAAAGTCAATTAATTATAATCCACATAATAATTCACATTTCCTGTTGCTGCAGGATTATTTTCCTGTTGTAGCAAACTGGCTCAAATTAACATCCTACATCTGTACATGTTGTTTTAGTTGTTCTATCAACATAGGCAACACTTAAATTAGTTGTATTCTTCGTAAGGAATCAATGAAGTACAAAATGAAGCAAACCTAGTACGGTAAATGTGACCCTCCTTTGGTGATACATACATTACATGTCCCTTTTACATTACAATACATCTGTATTTGTAGATGGTCAAGCCCTGAGCAGCTCTGTTAGATCCCGCTGGAATCCTATGAAGGAACAACCAATAACCACCAGAGATAGCTGTCTGTCTGCCCTTCATAGTTGCCAGAAGTCCCACCACTGTGCATTGGTGTATAAGAAGTTGAAGGACTCATGCCAGAAAGGAAAAAAACTGTGCAACTCTCCAAGCTCTCAGGACCACTGTCTGTCATTGTGGATGGAACTCCAGAGCACCTCTCTGTCTAATTGTACATGCACCATGAGCAGAAGAAAGTGCCAAGGGATATGGAGTGTTGTGAACAACAACTCCTGCATTCAGAACGCACTGGAGGCATTGGGTTCAACGGGTCTACATGATTTAAAGGACAGGTCAAATACAAGAAAGAAGTTAACTGGTAATGGTAAGACACTCATTTTATCTTCTGTAGTTTACAGGGTATTGATACACTTTTATTTACTTTTAAAATGGACATACAGTACCAGTCAAAAGTTTGGACACACCTACTCATTCAAGGGTTTTTCTTAATTTTTACTATTTTCTACCTTGTAGAATAATAGTGAATACATCAAAACTATTAAATAACACATATGGAATCATGTAGTAAAAATCTATTTTATATTTGAGATTCTTCAAATAGCCACCGTTTGCCTTGATGACAACTTTGCACACTCTTGGCATTCTCTCAACCAGCTTCATGAGGTAGTCTCCTTGAATGCATTTCAATTAACAGGTGTGCCTTGTTAAAAGTTAATTTGTGGAATTTCTTTCCTTTTTAATGCATTTGAGCCAATCAGTGTATTGTGACAAGGTAGGGGGGGTATACAGAAGATAGCCCTATTTGGTAAAAGACCAAGCCCATATTATGGCAAGAACAGCTCAAATAAGCAAAGAGAAACGACAGTCCATCATTAGTTTAAGACATGAAGGTCAGTCAATGCTGAACATTTCAAGAACTTTGAACGTTTCTTCAAGCACAGTCGCAAAAACCATCAATCGCTATGATGAAACTGGCTCTCATGAGGACCCCCACAGGAATGGAAGACCCAGAGTTACCTCTGCTGCAGAGGATAAGTTCATTAGAGTTACCAGCTTTAGAAATTGCAGCCCAAATAAATGCTTCACAGAGTTCAAGTCACAGACACATCTCAACTGTTCAGAGGGGTCTGTGTGAATCAGGCCTCCATGGTCGAATTGCTGCAAAGAAACCACTACTAAAGGACACCAATAAGAAGAAGAGACCTGCTTGGGCCAAGAATGTGTCCTTTGGTCTAGAGTCCAAATTTGAGATTTTTGGTTCCAACCGCCGCTTTTTTGGTTACTACATGATTCCGTATGTGTTATTTCATAGTTTTGATGTCTTCACTATTATTCTACAATGAAGAAAATAGTAAAAATAAAGAAAAACCCTTGAATGAGTAGGTGTGCCCAAACCTTTGGCACGTACTGTAGGTATAAGTGGCTGGCTTTATACCGGTTTTGAATCTTTCTCCCATATAGCACAACAGAAGAAGAGTTCAATTGTGGACTGGAAAAGTAGCAGTCTGAAAGAATATGGTATTCAATTTATTATCCTCATGTTCATACATTTAGAACAAAATGTGACGATTATAACTATTTATGTTACTGGAAATATTGTAGTTTGGGCTATAAACTGTAGCATTTACTCCAGACCCCTATTTTTCAGTTCATGACATTGATGGGTCCTGTTTGCAACAGATGACAATCTGCCTCCATGATGAGGTCTGCAACAGGCGAATGGTTCCTCTTGTGCAGACGTGTTCGGCAAAGCAATGCAACAGCACTCACTGTCGACAGGTCACTCAACAGCTCTACGCTGGTCTGCCATACAACATCGCAGAAATGTTCGTCCTCTGTGAATGTGACCCAGGCGATCCGGACTGTCTGCATATGAAGGAGGGTCTGCACAGTGGCACATGTGGAGAACATTTGGAGGAGGCCAGGACCCAGATCTGTCTGGAAATCTTTGACAACTGCCTGCGGGAGGCGCTCTGCAGGTTTGTATTGGACAATCGTGATACAACATTTCTAGAAGTCTGCATGGGATTTCTCTGATGTTTTCATGTAGACATTGTAGTGCCTGTCTGGGTCTTTTTGCTGTATGACTTATTATATAAATATAAATTAACAGGAACCGTTTAGAAGCTCTCCTATCAAACTGCTGGGATACTGAAGACACGCCATGCAGTGATTATGCTATGGATGAATGTACTAGTCTTCTGGATCCTGCTCTTATTCTTGGAGGAGATGCCGAGTGCAGAATGGCCTTGATTGCTACAATGGGCACAGCACTTCAGCATCCCTGTACATGTGATGGACTTCACAACAAAGACCTACTCAAGTGTGACATGATGCATCAAGTACTTCACAACCGAACGCATTTTAGTGAGTGACGTCCACAGTTAACTACAAAACTACTTATTGTAGTATTTATATGGTGAAGTTTGTTCCCCAATGGATGTGTGTATTACATTTACATTGGACATTTTAGTCATTTAGCAGACGCTCTTATCCAGAGCGACTTACATTAGAGCGTTCATCTTAAGATAGCTATGTGAGACAACAACATATCACAGTCGTAGCAAGTACATTTTCTCTCAATATTGAAGTTATCAGCAAAGTCAGTGGGGGGAGGGGGACAAATAGTTTGTGTTCATGATAAAAAATTGCTGAAGATCTAACAGTTTAAAAAATATATATTTCAGTGTCACCAGTGAAGAAAGATAGGACTCCATATGTACCACCTCCAGTGAGTGAATCAGGATCAGGATACGAATGGTTGAGTGGTAATGTTTTAAGTTATCCTTCAACTGTAACTCTAAATGTCAGCACTGTAATGGTTGTTGTGTGTATTCAAAATGTTATTGAGACAGTCAAATCAATTGACATTCACCACGAGAGCTTCCAATTAAAGTGTATTTTGTTTTTTCAGATCAACTGTTGTATGTTTTTGCATACATACTGCTTGTTGCAGTAGTACTGATGGCAGTCATGATTGTTTTTCACATACGGTAAGTAAGTATACATTAATAATGGATGCAGATTAGAATGCTTAAAAATTACAATTGTTTGATACATTGCTTTTTTTTCTAATAGGACACACAGAGGGAACGAAAAGCCCCAATTTCACCCTCCTGATAAAAATGGTGTTGTAATTTTCGGACCATGTTGAGACTCAAACACGCATGTAACTGTGTATATATTGTGTATATGATTATGGTACAGTATGCAATGGTATATGTCTGATAATGCAGAACCTGCATTTTCTGATCTAATTTAGATTTATTGGTATCTAATGGCTTTTTGAAAATACTATTTTTATCAACATTTACTTAGCTAGTTATACTAATATTTCAAAACATGACTCTGTTTTAAGATAATTTTGTGCAATTAAAACAAATGTACGGTCATAAGCCTTTTCTGCTATCCTTGCTTGAGTGAGTGTCAGAACACAGTGGCGTGGTTTACGTGATAACTCCTGGAAAAAGCTGATAGCGCTCTAGTAACTGGTACACAACACAGTCAGTAAGTGACATTATACAACTGGTTATGTCAACAAGGCAATGATGGTCAAATATTGACACATCCCTTTTAAGTGATTTTTTTCTTGCCTCTATTGTCACTCCAATGCTGTAGAGCTGATTCAGCCTACTTATAAGAAAGTCATGTCTATATATTTTTTACAGCCTTGTAACCATCTCATTTTCCCAAGGGAGCAAAGACAACAAGATCTTTGTTGTATTTTAACATGTGTAATGTATTAACAGTAACCAACATTAGTTCATTATATTAGCAATATGCTAGCTGGCTATACAGAACGTGTTAGAGAACAGCATAATTAGGATGATATATGATGGCTAACGTTGGTATGTAGCAGATGTTTATGTTTAAGGTCAGGTCTTTGACCTGTCTCAAGTCTGATAAGATGCATTGCTTTGTCATGCACCCCTTTTCATTGAACCTCAACTCCTTCATCCAGATGTCTACAAAATGGATGATGTGTTTACTTAAGTCCTCCACAAGCAATGGGAATTTTGTTTGGTATTTTTAACTTCCAGAAAATATATTGGTAATGTGTATCAAACATTTTTTTGTGTGTTTAATCCTGTGATACTCTCACAGTAAAATATTTAAAGGTTACCAAATGTTTGGATTAATCTCAAGTAAAATAATAATTTAAGTAATGCAATATTGTCACAAGATAATAACAATGCTAGGCCTTGATTTTGGGGAAAGGTTGGGCTGAAGGGGCCGGTAGATGATTAGATAAATATTAGATTTGCAGGCAGCACAGTAGGCAAACACTGAAAGCTTAGAATGTCATGTGTAATCTGAAACCTACAGTAATCTAGCTCTTTAACGGTAAACAACTTTGTTTAATCAACCTTTATTATCTTTATGTAATAAACATGTTGGATTCACAGTGGTTTGCCACAACACTCTTCAGTTTATTTCTGTTTATATTACCTCCAATCCAACTCCAATATAAAAGGGATACCATTATGTATCTTGGTTTGCTAACAAAATCAGACTTACTCAACCACCCTTCTTTAAATAACAATTTATTTAATGTATAATATATATGTTGCTCCCTATTGCAAGATGAACCCATAGAATAACGTCACTACATACATTGAACATATTTCTTATTACTATAGCACTCTGTCACATAGTACTTCACATTGAACTGTATTCATTACTATCGAAATGCAAATGAATAAAATAACTTACTTGTGTATATTGACATTTTAAAAGGCATTTAAAAAGGAGTACTGTCTAGTGGAAGGGAGGTTAAATACTTTGTTATACAACAAAGTTCATGAAGGGATTTAATTTACAAAATTTGATATTGTTCCGTGTTCTTAGAGATGCTGTATGTTCAGAAGGCCTACTTCAACTAAAATAAACGGTTAAGAGGCTTCTCCAGCTAAAATACATTTGGCCTCTGACTATTGCACATAGAATAGGTCAACATAAAGCTGCCACCTACTGTCCATTTAACTCCACAGAATAAAATGACCATCTATATGGTTTCGAATGGTGTCATGCACTGGTGAGGATGAATTGTGTTACTATTATTTTGTTTTACTCTGCATCGTTGGGAAGGGCTCATAAGCATGCATTTCACTGTAAAGTCTACACCAGTTGTATTCGGTGCATGTGACAAATACAATTTGACTCAATTTGATTTGAAGAGAGAAAAAAAAAATCCATATTTTAATTTGGAGGCAGACAGACTTCCATCTTGACGGAGCAACGGACTTAGGAAATGAAAATACATTTTGAGTGAGACAATGATCGACCCTCACTGGTTTTAAACCCAGCAGGACTCCCTTGACCCTCCCAGGTCTAACTGTAACCACATTGAGCCGGAAATGAATGGGAAGAGAACCCCACAGAAACCCATGAATAACTTTCATAACTTAGTGAGGAGTCATCTCTGTCTTTCACTTCCTACCAGACAGACTATACATGATAACTGGAAGAGGTTTTTTGGTTTAAAAAGTGTTCAGTTATTTCTTGAATTTAAGTAGGCCTTATCCAGCAACGTTTTAATAAAGTGCCTCTGCTAAATGGCCATCAATTTCGGTTTAAAAAAAAGAAGTATATTGTACTTTATATAGCATCAATGGCTATCAATATGCAGCATCAACAGGACAAAATACTGTGCTAAAGGGAAAGGTCTTTCTCTTCTTCTTGCGTCAATGCACAGAGTAATCATGAGGACTTGCTTCTTGCTTGGGCTACCTTGGAGTTGGTCTTGCGGTTTAAGGCTTTGCAGATTAAATCACCTGCCTCTATTACCTTGGAGAGATCCACTCCCTGGAATGAAAGAAACAACGGATCAAAGTAGCAGGAATGGTACCCTGCCAGCAGGGGGAGCAATTGCAACAGAAACAGTTGTGGAAATAGAAATAGCAGGCCTACCAATACACATGAAAGCTACGCAAAAAAACACTTTACTAATGTAAACAAGACCCAATCCTATGTCTGAAGCTTTCTCAAATGAATGGGGGTGAGCTGTATTTTCCCTAGCGATTACAAAGCTGTTTTAAAGTGGTATTTTCAAGTTACATGTGAAGCAACACTCACAGTTTTAATGCCCATGCCATGGAGCATATAGAGAACATCTGTTGACACGTTACCAGAGGCACCCTGGGCATATGGGCACCCTCCCAGACCTGCTACAGACGAGTCAACCGCACAAATCCCCATCTGAAGTAGACATACAGACAGGAGAGACATTCAACAACCACACACACAGAGCAAGCAGAAGGTAAAATCCCATGCAGAACAATGTCCCCTGTTCTCCTGTATTGTAATGTGTTGGTACAGCGTGCCGTGCCAGGGTTGTGGTGGTGTTTTAAGGACAGTTAGGAGAACTGTGGTCTTCATTTCTCGGAGATGAGTGGGCGCAACAGCCTGGTGTCCTCCACAGTACAGCTTACTCATCCTATTTGTCATACTAAACCAGTGGCACATCATTTGTTTTTGGCAATAGCAGAAAGAAAGTTCCATATTGTTGTGTCATGTTTTCTGATCCTCATGGTAACGTGTGTTAAACTGCACCATCTCTGTGACCTCTTAGCCACAAAATATGAATTTCTGTTGATACGTTTTACTCAATTGTTACTCAATTTTAAAAAGACTGCTCTCCACATACAGTACCAGTCAAAAGTTTGGACACACCTACTCATTCAAGGGTTTTTCTTTATTTTTACTATTTTCTACTTTGTAGAATAATAGTGAAGACATCAAAACTATGAAATAACACATATGGAATCATGTAGTAACCAAAAAAGTGTTAAACAAATCAAAATATATTTTATATTTGAGATTCTTCAAAGTAGCCACCCTTTGCCTTGATGACAACTTTGCACACTCTTGGCATTCTCTCAACCAGCTTCACCTGGAATGCTTTTCCAACAGTCTTGAAGGAGTTCCCACATATGCTGAACACTTGTTGGCTGCTTTTCCTTCACTCTGCGGTCCAACTCATCCCAAACCATCTCAATTAGGTTGAGGTTGGGTGATTGTGGAGGCCACGTCATCTGATGCAGCACTCCATCACTCTCCTTCTTGTTCAAATAGCCCTTACACAGCCTGGAGGTGTGTTTTGGGTCACTGTCCTGTTAAAAACGAATGATAGTCGCACTAAGCGCAAACCAGATGGGATGGCGTATCGCTGCAGAATGCTGTGGTAGCCATGCTGGTTAAGTGTGCCTTGAATTCTAAATAAATCACAGACAGTGTTACCAGCAAAGAACACCCACACCATCACACCTCCTCCTCCATGCTTCACAGTGGGAACCACACATGCAGAGATCATCCGTTTACCTATTCTGCGTCTCACAAAGACACGACGGTTGGAACCAAAAATCTCAAATTTGGACTCCAGACCAAAGGACAGATTTCCACCTGTCTAATGTCCATTGCTCATGTTTCTTGGCCAAAGCAAGTTTCTTCTTATTATTGGTGTCCTTTAGTAGTGGTTTCTTTGCAGCAATTCCACCATGAAGGCCTGAATCACGCAGACTCCTCTGAACAGTTGATGTTGAGATGTCTGTTACTTGAACTCTGTGAAGCAATTTATTTGGGCTGCAATCTGAGGTGCAGTTAACTCTAATGAACTTACAGTGGGGAAAAAAAGTATTTAGTCAGCCACCAATTGTGCAAGTTCTCCCACTTAAAAAGATGAGAGAGGCCTGTAATTTTCATCATAGGTACACGTCAACTATGACAGACAAATTGAGAAAAGAAAATCCAGAAAATCACATTGTAGGATTTTTTATGAATTTATTTGCAAATTATGGTGGAAAATAAGTATTTGGTCACCTACAAACAAGCAAGATTTCTGGCTCTCACAGACCTGTAACTTCTTCTTTAAGAGGCTCCTCTGTCCTCCACTTGTTACCTGTATTAATGGCACCTGTTTGAACTTGTTATCAGTATAAAAGACACCTGTCCACAACCTCAAACAGTCACACTCCAAACTCCACTATGGCCAAGACCAAAGAGCTGTCAAAGGACACCAGAAACAAAATTGTAGACCTGCACCAGGCTGGGAAGACTGAATCTGCAATAGGTAAGCAGCTTGGTTTGAAGAAATCAACTGTGGGAGCAATTATTAGGAAATGGAAGACATACAAGACCACTGATAATCTCCCTCGATCTGGGGCTCCACGCAAGATCTCACCCCGTGGGGTCAAAATGATCACAAGAACAGTGAGCAAAAATCCCAGAACCACACGGGGGGACCTAGTGAATGACCTGCAGAGAGCTGGGACCAAAGTAACAAAGCCTACCATCAGTAACACACTATGCCGCCAGGGACTCAAATCCCTGCTTAAGCCAGTACATGTCCAGGCCCGTCTGAAGTTTGCTAGAGTGCATTTGGATGATCCA